ACATCGAAGATAAAATTTGTTTTTCGAACATCTGCGGGATCAACAGCAACATTGATGCTGTTCATCACTACCTGCAATCCAATCGTCCCGCCATGCTTTTCTTGGCGGAGACAAAAATCTCAGAGACTGCACCGATTAACCATCTCAACTTCCCAAACTACGAGGTGCACTCCAATCTGAGAAAGAACGGGGGAGTTGTGGCTTTTGTCCGCAGCAGTCTTTCCTGCTCCAGGGATCTTTCTTTGGAATCAGACCGAAAGGACATTCTGTGGCTTCGCCTCAACTCCAAAACATCACCCAAATTTATTTGCTGCCTTTATCGCTCTCCCTCGAACCATAACTGGGATGACCTATTCGAATACCTCGCCGTCCAGATCGACTTCCTGAACATCAATCACCCCGCTTCAGAGGTAGTTCTTCTCGGTGATTTCAATGCCCATAATGAGCTTTGGTTGGGCTCAAATAAGACCGATGCAGCAGGTCGTGCAGTCGAAGCGTTCGCTCTTACTCAAGGGCTGACCCAGCTGGTGACGAGCCCTACCTTTTTCCCCCGGGTCTCGTCACACTCCAGTAGCCTGCTGGATCTCTTTCTGACCACGCATCCTGCCCCTTACAGCACTGCTGTCCTGTCCCCCCTGGGTAACTCAGATCACGGTGTTGTGGAGGTTAGGTTTCGGTCAGAAGCCGCTGTGGCAGCAGAAACTCGCACAGGCCGCAAAACTTGGCATTACGGACATGCCGACTGGGAGGGGCTCAGAGACTTCTTCTCTAGCTTTCCTTGGAGAGATGTCTGTTTCACTGACGCGGATGCGTCGACTGTCTGTTCTTCAATAACCGAAATTATCCACGTCGGAATGGAGGAATACATCCCTCACACAGTGAAAGTTCCTAAACCAGGGTCCAACGGCTGGTTCAACAAATCGTGTGACACTGCTCGCCAGCGGAAGATCAAGGCCCACAGAACCTACTTACAAAACCCCACTGTAGAGAACAGACAAGCCGACGTCGAGTCCAGAAACAAATATAACGAAGCGGTTCGCAATGCCAAAACCCAGCATGATATAAAAGTTAGGCACAGGGTAATGTCGCAGCGCAATGGCAGTCGGTCTTTCTGGACGCTGGCCAAGCAGATTGAAAAGAACTTCTCACACAGTAGCCTTCCACCACTTACGTGTCAGGATGGAACTATTGTATTCGACTCAAAGGCCAAGGCGGAAGTGCTAGCCAAGATCTTTGCTGCCAACTCCACCATGGACGTCCCCACCAACGCCCAAGTGCCGTCAATTCAAAGGGTTCCCCACACTATGCGGGAGGTAACATTCAGGCATAAGACCGTAAGACGAGTGCTCTTGTCGCTCGACACCAACAAAGCTTCTGGTGCGGACTTGATTCCTGCCATTGTACTGAAGAGATGTGCAGCTGAGCTTGCTCCAGTTCTTTCGCGTCTCTTCCAGATATCTTATGAATCCGGCACCTTCCCAGAAAACTGGAAATTTGCTCATGTACAGCCCATCCCAAAAAAAGGATCTAAAACCGACCCTTACAACTACAGGCCTATAGCTCTGCTTTCTGTTATAAGCAAAGTGATGGAGAGGTGCATAAATCGCGAACTTCTGGACTACCTCGAACGTCACAGCTTGATTAGCGACAGGCAGTACGGTTTCCGGCACCAACGATCCACAGGGGACCTCCTAGCTTACGTCACGCAACTGTGGAGTAAACTCATCCAGTCTCATGGTGAGGCTCATGTCGTTGCTCTTGACATCACGAAAGCGTTCGATCAGCTGTGGCACGCTGCCCTCTTGAGCAAACTTCCATCCTACGGCCTCCCAGAAAAGCTTTGCAGATGGGTGGCTGACTTTCTCTATGGCCGCAAGATATCCGTCGTAATTGACGGATTCTCCTCTTCATCCCACAACGTCAACGCGGGTGTTCCCCAGGGGTCGGTCTTGGCTCCAACACTGTTTCTCTTACATATCAACGACCTCCTTTCCTGCACGATCAACCCAATCCACAGCTTCGCTGATGACAGCACTCTGCATGCAGGGATTCAGAGTGACAAGCCAATCTCTGCCGCTGAGCTGGAAAAAAGAAGACTAGCGACGACTTCTTCTCTGACAAGAGACCTGGAGGCTATCTCTGCTTGGGGACGCAACAATCTTGTACAGTTCAATGCTTCCAAAACACAGTACTGTACTTTGACGAACAAAAAGCGTCCTAGCGCTCATACAGTTTCGATGGACGGTCGAGTTCTACCAAAGAGCCATTCATTTCGGCTGGTCGGAGTCCAGATCACCGAGGACCTGATCTGGCACGAACACATCTCTTCAATAGCTGCAGCTGCTGGGAAAAAGCTAGGCTATTTGTTTAGGGCTAAGAAGTACTTTTCTCCGCATGACCTTCTCACTCTATACAAGGCCCAGATAAGGCCTAGCCTCGAGTATTGCTCACACATTTGGGGTGCTGCCGCCCCGACTACATTGTCCATGCTCGATGCTGTCCAGAGGAGGGCGGTCCGACTGATCGATGACTCTTCCCTAACAGACAGTCTCGGGACTCTTTCGCACCGGCGGGCCGTCGGCGATCTAGCTCTTTTCTATCGCTACACCAACGGGCTTTGCTCCTCAGAGCTCTCTTCCATGATGCCGCCGCGCGATGTGCCTTCCAGACAGACCCGCCTGACTTCGGCGTCCCATCCTAACCGTGTCAAACTTTGTACATCCAGAACTGGCCGATACGACCGCTCCTTTGTCCCGAGGGTGTCTAGATTGTGGAACAATCTACGGGAGGAAGCTTTTCCCAGTTCTACTAACCTTAGGCAGTTCAAAAATCGTATTAACAAAATTTCTTTGAGATCATCATAGCAGCCGCGGTGTTCCGGCATTTAGGCTTCCGCCTGCGCGGCTGTTTCGATATAAAAAAAAAAAAAATATTCTTTCTTTCAATATGACTAAATAATCCCAATTATAGCAATCTGATACTCATGTCTCAATGTTTTTTCGCTGAATGTGATGAAAACATTTGAAAAAGGTTCGCTTATTGAAATAAATCTACACCAGTTAGTACTTCGATTTCCAGGTAAAGGGAAAAGGCTCATTATCTGCCATATTGGCAGTGAGGATGGATTTGTTGTTGACGGTCTGTGGTGCTTTGAGTCTAAGAATACTGGAGATTACCACGAGGAAATGAATGGCGAATCGTTTGAACAGTGGTTTTCAAAAATTTCACCGAACTTAGAGGAAAACGCAGTAATTGTGTTGGATAATCCAATCCGCCTTATCATTCTCGAAGACTGGAGAAGGTACCAACAACGGCTTCAAGGAAAGTTGATGTTCAAAATTGGCTCCGCTCGAAAAATATCAACTTTGAAGAAGCAATGCTGAAAGTACAAGAATTGTCAAGGATCACAAGGCGGAATATCAAAAATACGCAATTGACGAAATGGCAGCAAGTCAAAATAAAACTGTGCTCCGTTTACCTCCATACCATTGCGAGCTCAATCCCATTGAGCTCATATGGGCAGAGGTTAAAAATTATATAGCTAAGCACAATACAACTTTTAAATTTTGTGACCTCAAAGGACTTTTCAAAGAAGCACTAGCGCAAAAATGGGAAAACTGTATTAAGCACGCGAAGTTGAAAAGAGAATGTGGGAACTGGACAATATTTTAGAGGAACAAGTCGAGCCATTCGTTATTGACGTTGGTGCTTCAGGCAGTAGCAATGATGAAAGCTCATCAAGCTCATCTTACCAATAAAAGATGTCGTTCATCAAATTCGGTAAGTTATAAGTAATTATAAAGCTACTGTATTCTTTAATTAATTATTGACATTTTTGAACCCATTTTGGCAAAACCTATTCAAGAATCTACTTTCTGACAATGTTCAAGCATGCACATTTTTTTACGTTTTGAACGTTTTAATTTGGTTACATATTTACCTAGAAATCAAAAAATATACTAATCAATATTCTAAAAGCAATATTAAGAGATATACGATTATTTTTAATTTAGGCTAATTTAAACGCCATTTTGAGATTATATTCGACTGTATTTCACCAAACATCAGTCGGCATCCGAAGCTGGAAATCGAAGCGAAAATTTTGAAACCCTTAAGTATATTTACATCATTATATATTTCTTACCCCACCCCCACATGATCCTATATCCATCACCAATCGTATACACATCGAATTGTGCTAATTTACCACAAAGTTACGCAAAGCAGCATCTACTATCTAAATTATGTACTGCGTGACTCTTAATACGACCCTGCCGAATGTTACAGCGTTCGATGATCACGTGGTCTTGTTTATGTCCGGTCTATCTCTTATCTGAATATACTGTAGGACTTGCTCGGCCTAACCACCTGTCTGAAAATTGACATTCAACCAATTTCGAACATTGCGTCCAAAACATATTTTCTTGAAACTGCTGGCGCACATCCAATGGTATTATATCTATGAGCTCATTCTGAAGAAAGTTCAGATACACCTCTGAATTAAGACGATTAGGAAGTACAATAGGCCCAATTACTTTATCCCCAATTACTCCTACCCATAAGTTCAATGAAAATCTATGTTGGAAATTTGTACGGCTAACAGCCAAAATTTTTGGGTGTCTAGTCTAGATTACCAAATTGTATGTCTTTATCTCAACACGTTTCGGAAATATTAAGGAAAAACCATCTTCAGGGGAGCCCCTTTAAATGACCGTAGCGCCCTTAGGGGACGTTTGTCGACCTATGTTTATATAAACTTTTCTTCCTATTTTAAGCTCTAGAAACAGCTGATAGAATTTTTTCGGGACACTCTGTATACAATATGCTCGCTCAGATGTAAAAGATTGTGGATGATGTCAATATTAGTCCTAGGCTTTTACGCAGATGTTCTTATTTGGTGCAAAGCCTGGGATTTTGTTTAACATTGGCAGCATCACATTAGATTGTCATTTTACGTTCAACTCAAGTACCTCGTATATATTCCATTAAAGAGCTCATACCTGTATAAAATCTCTGTATATTGTCGTTCACAGTTGTAGCATGTGGGGAGCGCAAAGCGCCGAGCGACGTCTGGAAGAGACTAGGGGAAGACGGCAGCGTCGCGACGCTTTAAGCCGCGTGCTGGTATTGATCGACGCCCTCAAAATGCGTCAGGACAAGCGTCACATCAAGGGCGCTTCGTAACGGTAAAACTTAAGGGTTAAGACTAAATCCCCTGGAATGTCTCAAGAAAAACGGGTGGTTCTCACCAAAATCGGCTACAACAGCTGCAAATAGTACGGATGGCGATTTTCCTCAGTGCCTCCCCACGCTGAAGAGGTTAAGATCCCATAAAAATTGACGAAAAAAAAAAAAATAAAAAACACGCTTTTATATCTAAGCGAACTAAAAATTAGAAAATAATTTTTAATGACAAAGAGCTTATATTACAGTAGTAGAGATGGTCGAACAATCAATCATAATTAATAGCCTCAAAGTTTAAGTTAGTAACAATTAATATTCAATTCAGGATAAAAAGCGAGGGGTGCTTGTTATACAGGGTGTAAATGTTATGATAGTCATTATTTAAATGGGTGATAGAGGTGTTAGAAGAAGCAAAATATTTCAAATAACATGGGGGTCAAAACGGCATTTTTTTAGAGAAAAGCGACTCTGAAGTAAAATAAAATCTGACAACGCCGCAATGCCAGACGCAAATCACGACGGAACGCAGTGTAAATAAAGATGGAGTTTGTTATTTTTGGCTGCTAGGTATTATTTCATTATTTGATAATTAAAAAAAGAAACGGACTTACCACTAACTATCTCAGCGCTTCACCTGGTGTGTGAAAGTTTGAACGTATTAAAAAAAATCCACTTATAAATAGGGAACACAATTTTGATACATACATTGTTTTTCTTTTTAAAACCCACTGCACTTTTTGTGTATTTAAAGGTGTTCAAAATGTCGTCCTCCGCTTTCCACACAATCTTCATTACGACGAACCCAGTTTCTTCTTACTCTAGATCCTCGAAGTTGTCCATTTATTATTTCAGCCGCATTAAATTTTTTTTCGCGAAGTTGTGCTTCAGTTGTTATTGGACCAGCCCCACAACTATCCCTTCAAGTTCTCCTAATACCAGAAATCCATCGGATTGAGGTCAGGAGATCTTGCTGGCCATTTTCGAGGATCAGGAGCATTTCGACCGATCCAGAGATTTGGATAATGTTAATTCAAATACTGAATGACGCCTCTAAAAATGTGTGGTGGTGCCCCGTCATGAAGAAACCACAAATTCTGTCTCCGTTGTAATGGCATGTTGTCTAAGGTCTGGGGTCTGCCTCCTGCGAGGATTGAACTCACGACCACTTGTTTACAAGACCAGTTCTTTGACACTTGAGCTACAGAGGCTTGCAATTTCAAAATTAGTAAAGCGGCATTTGAAATCCGTGGATTTTTATTAACATATCTGTTTTTTTTCAGAATTTTTCCTATAATGATAATGGAAAACTGTTATCAAATTATTGCACTCATCGGTGCTTGATACGGGTGCGAAGTTTCAAATTAATCAAACTTCTGGAATTTGGTTAATCGTGTTAAAAATGGTCCTCGAAGTACTGAAGGGCCTCTATCAATGTTATACTCGAAGAACAGATTTTTTCCTTGAGTGGACAAAATACAGAATGAATGTTAAAATTATCTAGACATCTCGTTATGAGAGAAAATATCTTGGCACAGAGTATTTTTTTATTGATACAGCCGTTATAGGCAACCTTTTTAGCATACGCTCATACATTACACGTACAAGCACAAAAACAACTTAAAGCCATGTTTATAATTCTAGAATAAAAACTTGAAAATATAAACTTTGCAAAGAAATCTAAGCTTACGATGCCACACCTACCTATCATGTAATATTTATAATTGTTTGCCATATTTGTATCTTATGTATATTGATAAAATAAACTCATCGTCTATGATAAAAAGCTTATTTAAAAAATATATTTTTTTAATCTGTAGACAAGAGACAAGAAAGCTTCTGGATGTTGTTTACTAATAATATCATATACCATATAGTACTTCTAGTGTGTTTGTCACTATTTTTAGCAAAGCTGATATAAGGTGCTTACATCTTGCTATAAAAAATATTTCCGTGCACAACCAACTAGAGTAAAGTGGAGGAATATGGCAACATAAATTTCAAAAGCTCACAAAAATATATAATCCTTACAACATAACAAGTATTATTAAGTAATACAACGAGGCTAATAAATCTCATATCTCCAGAGCTCTGGAGGTACTTGCTTGTTGATTTAGTGGGACACAATCGCTACAATATACAGGGTGACCCAGAAGTCGACGTCAAGCCGAAACCGGGTGATAGGCAAAGTCATAACAGCTATCAGAAAAGTATTTAAAAAAATTGTATGTACGTGTTTTGAAAATTATAGGTCTTTGAAAAAAATATAGAAATTTCACACCCTACGGCAGTCTGTCAACTCCTGTTACTACAAATATCAACTTTTTTTGGATTTTATTTTTACAATGTAATGATGAATAATGCATCTTCAAACTGGCGTCTCAACCTTACTGCCAACTTTTCTCGTTCAGGAAAAATTGCCACTTATTTCCCAACCAAGTATTCCAAAGTAAAACTTTGCTCAACTTTAACTGGCTGTACTGGAAAAAAATGTACTACGAGAATTTGGCAAGTAACCTTAAAAGTTGGCGCATTTAATAAGGATTCCAAAATGGTATAACACTTAGAAGATTACTCGTTAACTTATGCACAATTTTTATTTGAAAAAAAACTGATGAAAATTTTTCAAAATTTCCTAATTAAACAGCGATTATGAAAACGCACAAGGACCCTTAAGGATAACTGTTTGCACAACAGTGGGCGTCAAAATGCTGCTGATGATGATTTACCTTTACAGCAAATGCTCAAACTGTTTTCCTTCAGCCGCAATACACGCTCGACATCTTCTTAAAAAAGATCGGGTTATTAAACGAGCGAATCCACGGTTATTAACAAACTCTTCTGCTTCCAATAGTCTTTGCCGTAGCTCAGCTACATTTTGAATCGGCTTGAAATACACTTTTTCTTTTACAGTTCCCCAGTAAAAAAATCTAAAGGATTCAAATCAGGTGATCGGGCTGGCCACGGTATTGTACCAGACCGCCTTATCCATCTGCCTGGAAAGTTTTGATCGAGATACTCTCTCACTGAGAGTGCATAGTGCGCTGGGCAGCCATCATGCTGAAACCACATGTCCCTGTAAATACTCAGTCCTCCAATAAATTTTCTAAATGATTTTGCAAAAAACCTAAATAAACCTCAGCAGTCAAAGTCTCTGGGAACTCAAACGGACCGATTATTTTACCATTTAAAATTCCTGTCCAATGGTTTATCTTGAAGCGATATTGAGATTTATCTTCTCTCATCAAATGTGGGTTTGCCACGTGCCACTCGTGTAAGTTATGCAGGTTCATGTACCCATCTTTCTTAAATGTGGTCTCATCTGACCATAAAATTTTTTCAAAGAACCGTGGATCTTCCCTGTGTCTTTCTAACATTGTGCGACAAAAAGCAACTCGGGGCTCATAATCCCGGGGCAGAAGAGCTTGAACACGCTGTACGTGGTATGGATGGAGCACGTTTTTTTGCAAGATTCTATGGGCTGTACTTTTGGGCACACCTGTTTTTAGTTCTATTGCACGCACTGAAGTACTCGGGTCTTCTTCGACAGCTCCTAGCACCACGTCTTCGTAAGGAAGGAAAGATCTTCCCTCACCGTGTGATTGGTTTGGTAGTTGGCCCTCTGAGAACAGTAAGCGGTGCACATATGTGAACACTCGATGATCTGGATGACGAGCTGCATTCGGGTACCTCTCACAGTAAAGTCTCGCTGCACCGCTAGCGTTGCATCTGCATTCCCCATAAATGAGGTGCATGTTAGCATATTCTTGTACGGTGTACACGGACATAGCGGCACTGCACAATCACACTATCAAAGATAGTCTAAGGAAAGCAAATGTTGTTTTGAAGAGCAATTAAACAGTCCAAATCCAAATCACAAGCGATCAACAGTCCAGTTCACGAATCCAAAATTAGTAACAGTACGAAATCAACAAGCACGAACATGTATCAAAGTGTGCAATAGCAAGTAAGTGATCTGCTTCATCCATACCACATACAGCGTGTTCAACCTCTGCTGCCCCGGGATTATGAGGCCCGAGTTGCTTTTTGTCGCACGATGTTAGAAAGACACAGGAAAGAACCACAGTTCTTCGAAAAAATTTTATGGTCGGATGATTTAAGAAAGATGGGTACATGAACCTGCATAACTTACACGAGTGGCACGTAGCAAACCCACATTTGATGAGAGAAGATAAATCTCAATATTCGCTTCAAGATAAATCATTGGACAGGAATTTTAAATGGTAAAATAATCGGTCCGTTTGAGTTACCAGAGACTTTGACTGCTGAAGTTTATTTGGATTTTTTGAAAAATCATGTACAAAATTTATTGGTGGACGTGCCACTGAGTATTTACAAGGACATGTGGTTTCAGCATGATGGCTGCCCAGCGCACTATGCACTCTCAGTGAGAGAGTATCTCGATCAAAACTTTCCAGGCAGATGGATAAGGCGGTCTGGTACAATACCGTGGCCAGCCCGATCACCTGATTTGAATCCTTTAGATTTTTTTACTGGGGAACTGTAAAAGAAAAAGTGTATTTCAAGCCGATTCAAAATGTAGCTGAAATACGGCAAAGACTATTGGAAGCAGCTGAGTTTGTTTGAATAACCGTGGATTCTCTCGTTTAATAACCCGATCTTTTTTAAGAAGATGTCGAGCGTGTATTGCGGCTGAAAGAAAACAGTTTGAGCATTTGCTGTAAAGGTAAATCATCATCAGCAGCATTTTGACGCCCACTGTTGTACAAACAGTTATCCTTAAGGGTCCTTGTGCGTTTTCATAATCGCTGTTTAATTAGGAAATTTTGAAAAATTTTCATTAGTTTTTTTTCAAATAAAAATTGTGCATAAGTTAACGAGTAATCTTCTAAGTGTTATACCATTTTGGAATCGTTATTAAAT